CTCAATTAATATTTGACTAAGGAGGCAAGATCATACAATGGAGTCAAGACAATTTCTTACATAAATGGTTTTGGGAAAATTGGACAGGTACATGCAAAAAAATGAAACCAGTCTACAATGTACACCATACAAAAGAATAAACTCACAATAGATACAAGATTTAAGTGTAACCATAAAAATCCTAAAAGAAAACATAGGCAGCAAAATTTCAGACATTTCTCATAAAGGCAGTATAATTACTGATACATCTCTTAGGGCAAAAAAATTAAGGAGAAAGTAAATAAATGGGATTACTAAAATAAAAATCTGCTCAGCAAATGAAATAATCAACAAATGAAAAGAGAGCCCAATGCATGAGAGAACATATTTGCCAATCATACATCCAATAAGGGATTACTTTTCAAAATATATAAGGAATTGATCCAACTTAACAAAAGGAAGACAAACAATCCAACTAAAAAATGGGCAGAGGACCTAAATAGACACTTCTCCAAAGTGGACATACAGAAGGCCAAGAAACATGAAAAAATTCCCAGTCATAATCATCTGAGAGATGCATGTTAAAATGACAATTGAAGTATCACCTCATCCTATCAAAATGGCTTTCATCAACAGATCAACAAACAAGTGTTAGTGATGATTGTGGAGAAAAGGGAACCCTGGTACACTGTTGGTATGAATGCAGACTGTGGAAAATAGTATGGATTTTCCTAAAAAAATAAAAAATGGAACTGCCATTTGAAACCAGTGGTCCCACTTTAGGAATATATCCTAAAAACTCGAAAACATCAATCAGAAAGAATGTATGCACCCTTATGTTCAAAGCAGAATTATTTACAACTAGGTGCCCAGGGCACAAATTCGTGCATCTTGAAAGGAACTGTGGGCTGCAAGGCTATGGTGGGCACAGGGGCGGACCTCAGCCAATCCTCCACACCCCTACTGCAGCCCCTCATCAGGGCTCGTGGTTCCTTGTCTGCTGGCAGCACCTCCCTCTCCCGCCACTACCATGCACTGATGGTGTGGAGCAATTGGCGCCATCAGTGGATGCGAGTGGTGGCTGCTGCCCTGATTGCCCCTAAGGAGCAGGGAGATGTGGAGAAGCCCTGAGGGGCAATCGGGGCCAGCAGCTGCCACTCACACCCATTGACAGTGCCAAGCAATTGGGGCCGGCGCTGGGCACCGGCAGTGGGTATGAGCAGTGGCTCCAGAGCTGACAGTGGGTGCAAGTGGGGCTGGTGCCAGTAGCAGGTTCAAGCACCCAGTGGGACTGCGGCACATGGAAGCAAAAATTTTTCAGTAACCACCAGAGGCTCGCCCCAATGACAGTGACCAGTGTCTTGCCTTGGTCTGGCATCTCTGCTCAGTTGCTCCACCATCCTGTCATGGCTGTTGCCCACCATGTTCTGTGCTCTGCCGCCTGCTGCTGATGCCAACCATGTTCCAGCGCAGGAACCAAAAGATGGGCAAATTTCCCAGACCCCCATACCTCCTGCTCTTTTCCTTCACTGCATTTATAAGTTTGTACATTTATCTGTGTGCACGCTGTACCAGTAAGTTCCAGGGGTAGGACCTCTGTGTGGCTTCCTTGATCACACAGCCTTGTGGTCTGCCTGCAGTTGGGCACACAGGAGGTGCTCAACTAATACCACTTGTGGATGACTTTTCCCTTCCACCTGCACTGCCTTCCTCCTACACCAGGTGTAGGGAAGATCCAGCCTGTACAAGGAATCATTTGGTCTGGCCCTGCCAAGGCAGTAGGGGTGAGTTAATTAAATGTTTGACCAAATGTAGCACGCTAGTTAAGTTGATAATTCTGTATGGCCCATGAATGTTGTTATAAATATCCAAATGGCCCTCAGCAAAGAAAAGGTTCCTCACCTGATGTACAAATGAGAGAGAGAGAGAGAGAGAGAGAGAGAGAGAGAGAGAGAGAGAGAGAGAGAGAGAGAGAGAGAAACATTGATCAGCTGCCTACTGATGCTCCCTACTGGGGGTCTTGCCCACAACATGGGCATGTGCCCTGACTGGGAATCAAACAAGTGATCCTTTGATGCACAGTATGATGCTCAACCAACTGAGCCATACCAGTCAGGGCAAAACAGTCAACTTTTAGAGTCCCTCTATTTCACACATGCTGATTCATTGGATGCGAATGAATTTAGGGAAAATGTGTGCAGTGGATTTAGAGACAGAAGACATTAAATGTGAGACAGTTTTTTCCCAGCTGGATGAGCAGCTCATCAATAAAGAAAATGATTCATCCTGCTTCACTTGCAGGTGGAACCCTATGCTCATCAGCAAAACAGCCAGTCCAGGGGCTGTGTGCTGCTCTTCTCTGAAGGAGCATGTCCTGCTGACTGTGCACCTGGGCAGAACCTGGAAATGCAGCACATGGAGACATTCTCACCTCGTGGATGGGCTCCACCATGGGTTCTTTTGTTCAGTAACTGACATTACAGGTTGGGATGTTTGGAAATGATGAGGTGATGAGACAATAAGTCAATAGCTTTTCAACATGACCTTAGAACATGAAGGCACGTTCGAAGAACACTTTTTGATAAGTGAAGAAAACACTCATTGACCTTTAAAAATTCTTCTGGCAGATAGATTCCGATGTGGGTGACATTGTCTTACTGGTATATTAAAAAGTCAGATCAATTATAGAACAGTCTCTGCTCTGAGCGTATTTCTAGCAAGATCCAAAAAGAGTACAAAGATTGTAACATCAGTGGGAGATGCAGAGGGTGACAGCTCTGCTGGGCATGGCTTGCCCAGGTGGTATCTCCTGCTACCTTTAGCGAGGTGCTTGCACTTAGCTATGGCAAGGGACAAAAGTTGCAGAGTCAATGATGTCAAGCCACACCTTCTACTAGTACACACTTACGTCCCCACAGATCCAGCCTGCCCAGTGGGAACAATGGTGCTTTAGTGACTTGCTCTTTTTCATTCTGGTCAAATTTAATAGTGTGCTCTGCAGAACTGCCTGTGACCATGGAGAGTTCTCTGTCTGAACTGCCCAAGCCAGTGGCCACCAGGAGCACGTGGCTACAAAAACCTGAAATGGGGCTGGTAACACAGAGGAAGTGAAGTTTTCCTCTTATCACTCCCAATTGATTTAAATGTATATAGCCATTTGTGGCTAACAGCTGCAATACAGGACAGAGCACAACTAGAAAATAACATCTGCAAATGGCCCACTAACTCATCTTTTCAAAGGTTTTATTATTATTATTTGCATTTCTCACATATGCATATGGAGAGGCACTGGATTAAGCAACTTGCCCATAATTAGAAAGTTAGTAAATGTCAGAGAAGAAGTCAGAGTCTGTAGGACCCAATGACACTCTCTCTTCAAACTGCAATCCCTTTTTTCATGTAAAAGAGCCCGAAAGGCAATTATCAGCCTGGGAAACTCCAAATTCTCAGTCAACAGCTATGACAGGAGGCTGGCCATATATACGAGGTATGATTTCTTTCAACAAAACACCTGAGAAAAATGTCCTCTCCAGCTGTGACTGGCTAACTTGAAAATCTCAAACTATATCACAATAAGCATATCTGACAGCCCACCAATGTGCACTAAAACTTTTACTCTAATCAAATATTAGCCAAATGTATTCATGAGAAAGCAACAGAAAGAAAAAGATATTAAACTCCTGTCACACACTATTATGCTGTCTTGCATTATTCCATCATTCTTTGCAGAGAAATTAATTATACCCTTTTCCCCTAAATCAACAGATCTAATGGAATTGCACAAAAGATAAAGAGATTAGGATTTCAAGACTGATTTGGAAATAAGGATTGTCAAAGGCTTGGCTTTAAAAATTTAAGAGTAATATGCGGTCACAGTGTAAATTTTGTCTTTAATTCTGCATAAAATATTCACATTATCACAAAACTAAAAACCCACTCCAACACCTGTAAGTTTCAGTTCAGATATTGTGCATGTCCCCCATATCTACGAGGAAGCCAGTGTAGCTCCTTCAGCCCTCCTTTATCACACAGGGACGCACTGCACAGCACACACCAAAGTGCAGTTTTAAAGACACTGAAATCAGGGAAAAAGGTTACAGGTCCCTATGCATGAAATTAATAGCTTTGGTTCTATTACTGCCTTCATATTGCCAAGGAGATCTAAGGAATTCTTTAATGTTACTCAACACAGTGAAATCAAAGAAATAATGGAGCAATATACTGAAACGTAGGTTAAAAAAAAATGGGGTAAGACCACAACTTTGAGGATCAAAGCCTGGCTAAAAATATGTGATAATCTTGTTATATCAAATCTAGTTTTGGGTTAGAGCTAGTGGACTCTTGTGGTAAGAGCTGCCTAAAGTCCTAAAATTAGTCTCACCAGAGCCTGGGCCACCTGGCACTGTCCTGTGGTCACACATTCATCCCTAACCAGTCCTCCTGCCAGCACTGTGTGTGGCAGTGGGTGGTGGATCAGAGATGGCCAAGGTGGGCTCTGTGTGTCCTTCCTTGAATATGACAGGACCTCAACTGCTCTAACCCCCAGAACATAGCACGGTGATTCTGTGCACATCTCCAGGCCTCTGCTGTAACACACTGATAGTTCTATTGCCTATGTTTTGGACCACTTGCCTGGAGCCATTTTAGGAAGTGCAACTACTCTGAGACTGCCAGGTAAGAGACCATGTATGGCCTCAGGCCAACAGTCCCAGCTGAGGCTGAACTCCTTCCATGGGGTGAGACATGGAGCAAAGCCATCCCATGAAGCAACTGAACACAACCCAGCAGCCCCAGACAAGCCCATACTGACCCATAAAACTGCAAGAAAATAAAGTAGTTCTTAGAATTTTGGGTAGTGGGATACAATGCAATAAAAACTGCAGAGGAATATTTCTCTTTTCTTCAGCTGGTCTATTTTCCCTCTAAAGCCACATTTACATGCTCTTATTGTATAACATGAGTGTGTATTTATTGCTAACCTGCCTGCACACCACTCTTTCCAGTTTTACCAATGCACCTACCAATGAAGCCAGAAGATGGTGGATTGGGCTGAATCTTCTCCTTGGTGTTCTCCTGGATTATGTCCCAAAGCTGCCATATAAATTTAGGGTGAAGAATGTAGAAGGGCTGATCTGGGTTCCTCTGACGATGCTGGACATATGGTGTGAACAGGTTGTAATCTGGCTTCTGGTACCACTAAGAGGAAAAATCAACACAATCCAGTCTTGAGAGCCACACTGTGCAAAGGACACAGCACAGCCCTGGAGGGACTCAGTGGGGAGGAGGGAATGTGGACAGATATCAGGGGTCCCGCTAGACAGATGCTGCATGCAGCACTCAGCAGACTTCTGCAAAGGGCTTGTGGGTTTAAGGTCTCTGTGGCAATCACTCAGCTCTGCCTCTGTGCTGGGAAAGCAACCACACAAGATGTCAAATGAATGTCTTGGCTTTGTTCCAACAAAACTTTATTTAAAACCAGGGCCATATTTGTCCTGTGGCTGTGGTTTGCTGACCTCTGGACTAAAAACTAATGTTTTCTGAATAGAAGCTAAAGCAACAGAAAGCAAATCAGTTAAGTCTAGGGCTAGAGCTAGGATGACCCATGCGCGTGGCACATGGGACTCTGGAGTGATGAAAATATCCGATTTCTTAATTGTGGTATAGATACATGACTATAGATATTTGTTAATACTCAACAAAATTATGCTTACATTGATTGTATATAAAATATTTTATGAAAAAAATAAACTATAGGTTGATTTAAAAAATGTTTTCAGAAGCGTGTCAGTTGTCACCATGAAATAGAATTTGGAGAAGGTGTGTGAGGGAGAGGCTGGGCTCAGGCTCCAAGCTCCCTCAGAGAGACACCTGGTCTAGAGTAAGATCCCGGGGAACAGCCATGGCTGAATGTGTTCTGTTGCTTTGAAGATGTTGAGGATGGCTGGGCCAGATCATCTTAAGTGAGGCATTGGGAAGGAAGCAGAGAAATGTGGGACTTGCTTCTTCCCCTCCTTCGATCCTGACACAGCGAATGGGACAGGCCCTTGGACAGCAGCCTGTCACTCAGACTTCAGCATTATGACGCTCACATGCATGGGGCTGCATAGCCCTGTGCCTTGCACTTGGATGCTTCCAACAGAGAAATAAGCAAGGTTCAACAACTAGAAGCTCTTGGTCTTTCCTCAAACAGCAGGAGAGCTATCTGAACTCCAAGCCAGAGAACCTCAGGTTAGGAAGGAAGATGAAAAGTTCGAACACTCACGTGATGGTTGATTCTCAATGGAGGGCACAAATGAGAGCCCAAAAGGCTTTCTCAGAAAACACTCAATGATGTGCATTACATTTCTGGAAATGGGCTCTGACAGATATAGCTGAAAAATCCTCTCCAGGTGGTTCTAATTGCAATCCTGGTTAAAGTGGTTAGTAATCACGCTAGGTAAAGGTCCAGCTTCATGAGGAACAGTGACAGAAACACTCCTTTCAGAGGGACCCGTCAACCCTGGGGAGCTCTCTTAGAAAGATACCTCAGGGTGGGGATGGGGATGGAAGAGCCAAGATCAGTCTCCTCACAAGACTGCATTCTCGAGTCACAGCAAAACAAATAGAAAGACACCCATTGGCACAGCGGATAGCATCTGTCATAGTGAAATTATCATCCATCTTCCAGCGACACTGGCTCTTCATCCCAGGCTTTACCAGGAGTAACTGGCAGCTTGCTTAGATAGCCATCGACTTGCCAGAAAGTTGTGCATATAACTTCCTACATTTTGATGCTAGCAATGGTTTTGTTTATGCATCACAAGATTAAAAAGGTTGAGAAGCTGAAGCCAGAGTGACCCACTCAAGGAAAGCCATAACAGGTTAATTTAAATAACAAACTGGTGATACACAAGTTTAGATTTTTCTTGACAAGCACTTCAAATTTATTTCAAAACGTCTGTAACTGTTTGGAAGGTAATGTAACCCTATCATAATGGGAACATATTGAGTTTAATCAGCCCAACCTCCAGTGTAAGTAGGAATTTCTGAACATTTGGACATTGGATATTGAAAAAAAAATCCTCCAGAGCAAAAGCCCTTTTTAGATGGACAATGCTCACCAAGCACATTACGGAAAGTGGGTAACAGGATGGCATGGGCACATGTATTTAAACAGCACTCATGATCAGTTTCATTATGTCTATCAAGGCTCAATCCTTGACTTACTCCCATGAGTAATCAAAGGCACCTTCTGATCACTAGATTCATTGTAGGGGTGACAAATGAAGACTTACCAGGTCAAGATTTGCTGAATAAGGAGCAGGGTCCCAGGCCACCAAAATGACATCTTTATATAATGAACTGTCAATGAAGTGATGGTTGGGGTTGGTCAGAATCTGCAAATACATAGAAAAATAATTTCAAAGCAAATGTTTGGTTCTTCAAAATCATAGTTTTAAAAGAGATGGAAAAAAGTGTTTCCTTGCTCTGATCCATTTTTCAAAAGTCCCTCAGGCTTTGTTTTCCTTTGGGGGAGGGAGAGAGGCTGGCATTGCATGCTAAAGTACCTAAAAAATGTTTGGGGAAATTAGGTTTTGTTTTTTTGTTTGTTTGTTTTTAAATCCCCCAGATCTTACATTTTCACCCAGCACTGTACTCATATCTAGTGGAATCAAATCGGCTCCTGAAAGTGGTAACCTAGGCCCCACAACTTTCTTCAATTGTCTTCACAGGTAACTTGGGAGAGAGTTGCAGATGTTGATGAATTGAATTCTGCAGGTGCCTCAGTGTGCTAGCCTAGGACAAGGGGGACACAGCGAGCCAGTCATCCTGAGTCAGCCTGCGTGACCCTCTGGGGCCCTGTCTATTCTGGATGAGTTCTTTAATCTCACTTGTCAATCATTTTTTTTTAATTACAGTTTTGAGAAAAAATGTGCTGATTTCATTTTTAAGGTGCAATTTTTCAGTTTCTAAGATATACTTTTTTTTCCTTCACATTTTAATGTTTCTGTAGTTAAAAGGTATCCTACAGTGACATGTATTTTAATTTAGTGAGGGTTAGCTCCTCCACTCTGAAAGGCTGTTATTAAATGAATGGTGAATCTACCAGTGTTTCCCCAAAAATAAGACATTCTCCGAAAATAAGACCTAGCGCATGGAAAGATAAGACATCCCCTGGAAATAAGACATAGTGCAACTTTGGGAGAAAAAATTAATATAAGATACTGTCTTATTTTCGGGGAAACAGGGTATAAATGAAAGAAATGTGGTAATTGTTTCTTACCTTGCTGTGTGCTGCCTGGCTCAGAGTACTAGGCAGAAATCTAATCTTTTGTTTTGCAAGCAACTCATCAGAAATCATTCACCATCTCATATTTTTCTATATAGTTTGAAACTCTAGAAATTGTTGTAGTTTGTTCTAAGAATAATTTTGCTATAAATTTGGAAGATATTCTTATTAAAATACAAAGAAAAGAGATATTTTTATTTCAACAATCCATTTTCATTTTTAAAAAATTCAAATAAGTAAGTTTCAAACTATGCTACTAACCTTGAATTTTGTACCTTTGCTTTTCTCTCTTCCATCCCCTGCCTTCTCTTGGCCAATACTTCTTGTAAGTTTAACATCCTTTGAAATCCACAAGATGCAACATGATAAGTCTATGGGTGTGTGTGTGTGTGTGTGTGTGTGTACTTTTTTTGAGCTTATTTACTCATTTTCCCCCCTATTCATGTTACACACAAATTCCCATTTCTCTACATTTTTTCCTCATTACTTCTTTATAATCATAAGACCCATAGAAATAAGGAAAATCATTATCATGATTTTTCTGGATAACTTCACTCATCCAGTTAAACTATATACCTATAGAGCACACATCCATGCAAGCATTCCATCCATCTTACCTGGGAATTAATGATGCGCACAGTGGTTTTATTCCCAACATCTCTCTCATAGCCACGGGTGGGAGCAGCATTAAATCTCAAGACTGCATCATGAGAATCTAGGGGCACATAAATGACACTCACTTTTTTTTCTATCTGTAGAATAAACATAATCTAGTATAATATCTTAAAAGTGAATCTTTAAAACTGGAAGCTAAACAGACACCAAAAATGAAGAGACCCATGGGCACATTTTCAGCATACTGTTTCTTTGAGATACTGCCCAGGGGCAGATCAGCATGGAGGCACAATCCATGCAATTACAGCAGGTCCTGTGTCATCTTATTCAGAGATGCTTACATGTCCACATCTTTATAAGGGGACATGCTTTTTGCAGCCATTCTTCTAAAGACTCCAAAACTTTTTGAAGATGGAATCTACTGGAACAGGATGCTACAAACAGGCTGCTCACCGTGTCTTCTCACTGATGCGGAGTGGAGGCTGCTCCTGGTGCCTCCAATGCCACTGCCTGCACCAAGATCAAGTGTGTCTCTCACAGTCAGAGCCACAGCCTTCACAGTAGCGTGACCACTTTTGGGTGCTGGTTTGTGCTTAAAAAAGAAAACCAGCTATAGTTTCTGTGCATCATTACCTACTGCTAACAATGCCAAGAAAAGCCATATGAGAGCAATCTTAGTACATTCTCCCTTTTCCAGCAATGGCCTCACCAAAGAGGAAGGGAGGCACCAGCTACCAATGCTACTTATAGTCCATCGGGCACACTGTGGTCCATGGAGCTTCATTCACAACAGAGCCATGTCTCCCTTCATTTGACTCAAAAGTCAGACTTCCCCAAGTTCTCTGAGGTCCCAAAAGACAGCTCCCATATCACAGTGTCTGACAAGGGAGACAAGAGCTAGAGGAAAAGTGGGCTCACCTGACTAAGGGGTGGAAATGGGAAATATGTTTGTTCCCTTTCCATGGAGCAGTCTATATACACATCTTGAAAGTTCCTGTGCCAAGTTATTAACTTTTCAGAAACCAGCTTAAATCAGACTTAGTCAGCAGCAATAAGGGAATCTCCACAGGCTGTCTTTAGCTTCAAAATTCCTATGCGTGTTTCAGGTTCAAGTTGGAGCAATAACACTGCCTATTTGTGAGGGAGTCAGGTGAAATTATGCCTGTCTGATCTGCCAAAGAGTCTTGTGGATACATGCCACCTTTACAGTGACCATACTCCTCTCAGGTCCCTAAAGCACCTCCCATTCTCCACTTCCCTGCGGAGTCTCCTTGGGATAGATTCTCCTACCCCCTAAGTAGCACAAACTTGGCATGTGTGCCACCATTAAAACCATGTTACAAAAGGTGCCTCTCTTGACAAGCATTGGATTCAGAAGATTTCTGATTCTAGTTGTGAGCACCAAATCAACACTCTTTTGGAATACAAACAATGCATAACGGATACCTAGCTAAGTCATAAAAAAGTCCTGCAATGTTCTTTTAGGGAAAATTTTTCAATAGTCAGCAAACTATGACCTGCCACCAGTTTTAATAAACAAAGCTGTGCTATGACACATACTCACGTGTGTATCTATTGTCAGTAACAGCAGAGCAGAGCTGGGAGACCCTGTGGCTCACCAAGACCGAACACTTGCTACCTGGCTCCTAATAATAAGAAGTTTGCCAATCTCTGGAGCAGTGGTTCTTAACCTTGCTAATGGTCACAACTCACAGGTTGAGAACCACTGCTGTAGAGCCTAAGACCATTGGAGAACACAGATATTTACATTACGACTCATAACAGTAGCAAAATTAGAGTTATGAAGTAGCAATGAAAATAATTTTATTAAAAAAAAGAAAGCCCAAACCGGTCTGGCTCAGTGGATAAAGCGTCAGTCTGCGGACTGAAGGGTCCCAGGTTTTATTCTGGTCAAGGGCATGTACATTAGTTGCGGGCACATCCCTAGTGGGGGGTGTGCAGGAGGCAGTTGGTTGATGTTTTTCTCTCATCAATGTTTCTAGCTTTCTATCCCTCTCCTTTCTTCTCTGTAAAAAATAAATAAAATATATTTAAAAAAAGAAAAAGAAAAGAAAAAAAATTAAGAAAATAATTTTATCGTTGGGGGTCACCACACCATGAGGGTCGTGGCATTAGAAAGGTTGAGAATCACTGCTCTACAGGCTTATTTTTTGGTCTCAGGACACCTTTACATTCTTGAAAATCTATGACAACCCAAAGGTTTGAACTACATCAATATTAGAAAGTAAAAAAGAAAAACTTTAAATGTTTATTAATTTAATTTAAAATACATTTTTATGAAAAATACATTTTCAAAATAAAAAAAAAAGTGAGAAGACTGGCACTGTTTTAAATGTTTGCAAATCTCATTAATGAGTGACTTTTCAGAAGACAGCTGGCTTCTCCTCGCTGCTGGTGCACACAGTCTGCTGCAATGTATTGCTTTAGTTGAAGTTTATAAGGACTCAGATGTATCACTAGAAATGGACGAAACATCTGAAGTCTTTGCAGGTTACTGGGAATAGTCTTCTCTGATATTTCATCAAAACTTGATAAGTGCTAGTTTATAAAAGGTGGCCACAATGAGGACTGTGACACAGTATCAATGAGCTTTTCACGCTGTTACATTAAAACCCATCAGTTTATCTTGCTCTTAAAATGGATGATTCACCTGTGCATAATTCTGTAACTGTGCAATGATCACCTGGGACTATCAGTTCAGTGCTTTTCACGTTATTTCCCCCTGGGCCCCAAATTCACAGGTACTCAGAGACTGAGATTTAATAAAGTCAACCATTTTTACTGTTTCATCAAGGACATCTGTAAGTGAAGCTGGCCCTTTTCGCTTTTACTGCTGAGCTTGGCAGCGAAAATGCCATGCCCAGCAGAGTTGGGTCTGATGCCTTGATTCATATTAAGAAGCATTTTATTCACCAATGCTTTTGCAACATCAATGCCAATGTCAACATTATTATGAGTATTATTATAAAAATAGTTCTCACTTCATGGATCCCTGAGAGAGTCTCCCCAAGTGTAAACAGACCTCCACTGTGAAAACTTGGACCGAAGGCAACCTGCCTGGCAGGGGGGAGCAGGAGTGCAGGCTGCAAGCAGGGAGGCAGGCTCTGGGCACTGAGAGGTGATCAGGACCCCAGGGCGAGGCAGCGCCAGCCCTCCTACTGCGCAGGTCTCACACTGGACCACACTGCCCCCAGGCAGCTCTGGCTGAGACTGAGGTCAGTCAGCCAAGGCACCTAAGCAGTGGCTGCATTTCAAATTAATCAGGCAATTCCAAATTCATTGCACCACTCTTGAAAACATCACAGCTTTTAAATGCCAGAGTTCCACTGAGGTGAGTTTTAAGATTTCAAATGACTTCATAGTCAGCAATGCAATGTAGTTGACCTCCTTTAGCAGTGGTGTGAGCCAAGAGCTAAAAGGCCCGTTTTGTGGAGGACTGGAGGGAGAGCTGCTGCTGCCGGGATGACCCTCCTTAAAGCTGTCAGTGACCAGAATGGGGAGGATGAGCTGAGAGTACGCCCATCAGGCAGCCGTGTTTTGTAAACCTCTGCTTGGCTGTGTGTGCATCACCTTGATAAATGTGCTTTAAAAACTACACTGTCTGTTCACATTTAGAAGAGAAGAACGAAATCACACAGCAAGCACAAGGGGAGTAAAGCATCATTCTGGAGAAGGCTTTTCTGGGGTAGAGCCATTTCACGTTGACCTTGAGAAAAGGCTAAGTGCACTCACTGAAGGAACATTAAAGCCTTTTGAGGAACAGCCAGCCAGGAGGTGCAGGAGCACTCCGTTATTGTCCTGCCCTGGGCACTAGGTCCTCGTTCTCCTCCTCCTTCCCCCGACACACCCAGTACTCGAAATCTGCATCATTAAGCAAGCAAAAGCCTGCAGTCCTTAGGGACTTCATTTCTCTCTGATTCTACCTCACCTCTCCCCAGACTCCTGTAATGGCACTTATATCTTCATGCCTTCAAATTTAGGCTCTGGAGCAATCTCTCTAAAATAAAAAGTCAACCCATCAATCCTCTGCTTCAAACACTGCAGTGCCTCTGACCAAGGGCCCAGGGTCAGAGCTGGAGTTCCTGGAGACTCAGACTGAAGTCTGATGGAACTCAGGCTCCGCCCACTGGGCTTTCCAGGTGTCTACATTGCCTCATCCATAAAATAGGAATAACTATCTATTCGAGCTGTAAGGCTTCCAGCAGTTAACACATAAAAGCATTTGGTACTGAACCTGCCGTAAACACCGCACTGAGTGATACCTATGATAACAATTACTTAGTGGAGTCTAATTTCTGGGACTGATGCTCAAAAACATCTGGGAGCTGACCTCCTGCCACCTGTCCAGCCTTCTCTCCTCTCCCCTCCCACTGGTGGTGCCCTGCAGCTCGCTGCACCTCTGGCCTGGATTCCCCTCTCTGGGCAGTCTTTGCTGAACTCCTCTCTGTCCAGGCACCAGCCCTCACCGTGGGATTCTGTTGTCTTCCCTGTCAGTCTACACCTCTCTCAGTTCTTCTCCTAACCACTGCCTGTTCATAGTCTGTCTTCCCCACCGGACTGCAGAGGGTTTGAAGTTTAGGTCTGTTCCCTATTCATCTTTGTGTCACTAGTAGCTAGCATAGTTATCAGGCCTCAGAGAGATGGAGATCAATAAATACTCAATGCTTGCTAAGTAACTCTATTATCTTTTTCGCTTTTTTAAGGTAACAAAACAGGGGCTCCACTCCCTATACAGGCCCTCCCCCATTTCCCACAGGCTTCCCAGAATTTTTATTTAAGTACACAGATCCTGATTGCCCAGATCGAGGCCACCAATGTTAGTTCAGAGCAGACATTTCTCCTCTGTAGTGAGTTTCCACAGGACTGCTGGCAGATGATCTCACTACCAAATTATTATTCATATTGATATGTATGGGTGAAAAAAGATCTCAGTGAGTCTCTAGAAAAGAATGTTCCACATTTCCAAAGCAGTTCAGTTTTCTTTTCAATGACATATTCAACAAGAAGGTTTTGACAACTGCTATAATGTCCTTAAAAACAATTACAGGGCATGACTCAGGCTAACAGAACTTGGAAAAAGGGCTGCACTGTCAATAGGACCAGCAGAGGGAGCTAGAGGAAGCCAGCAGGCTCGGAAACCCAGGCTCACTGAGTCTCCCTCTGGGCCTGGGGGTGTGACTGCTAAGCCTTCAGGCACAGTTCTGCCTGAAGGGGCCTCCTGGCAGTGCTGACATGGAGCTAGCCCCAGGTACTTTTATAGCTCTGCTCTCAGTTTTTCATAAAATTATGTTGGTAAGTCTTTTGATCTTCACTTAGCCAATTCTCGAGGGATTTTTAGAGCTCAAGATGAATTTAGCTAAATAGTACAGCATGCCCCAATATTCCAAGTTGCATGGAGGGGTCTGCTAGTGACTTTATTTTTATTAAGAGAGCCATTAACAATTCTATGTTGATGAGCACATGCACATTCCCACATTCCTGGTGAGCAGAAAGGAGAAGGCACCACCTCACACTGTGCCAATGCTGATGGTAAGTGATACCAGCTTGTAAAAATGAAGAACATTTTGTTTTTATAACTTGTATTATGCTATGATAACATATTCTTAAGATGGTAGGTACAAAACTGGATTCTAAAGAACCTAGACAAAACAATAAAGAATTTAAAAACTTGTGTTTTTCAGTTAAGATACTGAGTCAGACAATTCTAATCATGAAGTTTCATATTAATGCAGACAATATAAATTACATTTGGATACTAGAAATGAACCAAAATATAACATTTCACGTTCCCCCAAAACATGTAATGCCCAGTGTTTTTCACACTCTATTCCAAATTCTGCATAGAGTTTATGAGGCCCTGGTTAGAGGCATTTATGCCACAGTAAGGGGCAAGGGAATTCTCCCTGACATGCAAGAACATTCCAAATATGCAGCAGCAGTGCAGAGGTGTTTAGAACACAGCAAAACCAAACCAGAAGCTAGTTACGGCCTGCTTTACAGCATAAGACTTAAATTCCTTCATACATTATTAATAATGGCCCTGGAAATGAGAAGGAACTGTGGTGTTACTGCACTCCAGGGACATCTAACCACTGCTTTTCTTAATCAATTGCAGGCTGCACATTTATTTGACACATGGACAGTGTTATTATGGGCCTGCAGTAATGTCAACACAGGGACTCTGGGACCCCAGACCTCAAGTGTAGACTTGTGTCTTGCTTATTTTAACTTTAAAAAAATTTCACATTCAGATGAGGTCTGGCTTGTGGAGCTTGATTACGATGGCACCACGCCATTTTAAGATGGTCAGAACATCAAGCACTCCTAAAGGACAGAACAGCGAATGGGTCCCAAACAACAGCTGCCCCTGAATGTCACGTCCAGGTTAGTGAATTGTGAGCATGTATTAAGCTTGGTTGCTTCATATTCACATCTCAGGCGGAGGCTGTGTGATTCACATTTGTTCTCTGGCACCCAATGCGGAAGCCGGCACACCGTAGGGCTAAGCACACAGGTTGTTAAGTGAGTTAATGGGCCTACAGGGCCAAGCTGCTTGCTCACGGGTGCAGCAATAGAATGGGCCAGGGCAGAGAGGGAAGTCTAAGTCCTTACAGCAAAGACTGACATTCCTGAAGGGGGAATTCTGCATCTGGACTGCATTAGAGAAGCCCAGCCTGAGTTTCCACCTACCAACCTGTCCTCCAGATCTCAGGCTCAATTTCACCTCTTACCTCAATTTCCTACCTGCCTGCCCTTAAAACTTCAGAATTGCCAGTCCCCACAATCATAGGAGCAAGTCCTTAAAAGAAGCCCCTTTCTCTTTACATGTACATCCCATCCCTCACTGGGAACTATGTAGCAGTGTTCCCCGAGGCTTCTGGCATGGATTTAAAGATACCGTATTTTTCGGACCATAAGACGCACTTTTTTTCCCCCAGAAGTGGGGGGAAAAAGTCCCTGCGTCTTATGGTCCAAATATAGCCTACACATATACTTTAAAAAAAAAGTTTTTTACTTGCCCGGCTCTGTGTGGTCTGTGTGTGCTTGCCCGGCTCTAAAATGGTTCTAAATGCTGCTGTTTACTTTACAGGGTTGATTACATGTGTTTATGACTGTGATGTTGGGTTTTAATGCACATAAAATATTTTAGGACACTATTTGTTTCAGAATCTTTTTTTCTTCATTTCCCTTCTCTAAAAACTGGTGCGTCTTATGGTCCGGAGCGTCTTATGGTCCGAAAAATACGGTAGTTCATAAGGGAAGAGAGGAGGTGGGTGTGGACCTATTATTTACCAACTTGGAGAAGCGCCCTGCTTAGGTGAACTGGCTGTGACCTGAAAGGCAGATTTGTGCCGAAGGTTCAGATCTCTTGGGGGGCAGGAATCCCTCCGCAAAGCCCACAACAGCGGTTTGGTCCCAGAGTAACCGTGTTTGTCTTAAAGGACATCTCTGTGGAGCAGACTCACTTAATCCCGCGGGGACTGCTCTTTCTCACCGCTTTGTTGCTCATAGCTCTACTGCACTAGGGGTTCCTCAGCCTCCGTGGGCCAGGCTGGGAGAGTCACAACAGGGAGCATAGTTTCAAAGGAAGCTGGACAAGGCAGGGACACTCCGGCCTTCCACTCCCCCTGGACCCAGCTCTGGGGAGCACAGCTCTGCTCTAAAACGGCCCAAAGGATGCCTCTGCTGGTTCACTCAGTCCCGGCTACAGAAAAGCAGTCTCCAGCTAACCTCCAAACATCCAGTGCTCGGCCCAGGCCGCCCCGCCCGCGGGAACCAGAGGAAAGTGGGGAAAGCGCCAGCTCCTGACCCGCATTGGGCCCAGGTCAGGGACCAGTCCCCCACCTCCCACCCCGCACCCCAGGACACCCACCTATCTCCTCCCCCAAGGAGGAGTTGAGGATGGCGCCCGCGGACATGACCACGGCGCAGGAGCGCAGGCCGCCGGGGTGCAGCTGGCCGAGCGGCACCGCGGGCACCAGCGCGCGCCAGCCCAGCGCCGCGAAGGGCGGCTCCGTGCCGTCCAGCGTGCGCAGGCGCACCCGGCGCCGCAGCGCGCACAGCAGGGCCGCCCGGCTCCGCCCGGCCGCGCGCCGCCCGCGGAAGCGCACGCCGTGCTTGTTGGCCGCCAGGTAGTCCTTCATGGCCCTCTGCAGGCGCGGGGTGAGCATCTTGGAGGAGACGGTGCCCTTCCAGAGCCGGTGCAGGAAGGCCCTGGACATGGAGGAGTACAGCCTGCCTCCTGCCTCGCCCTCCTCCAGCACGGGGCTGCCCCCTCGGGGCCGGTGCCTTTTCCTCTCCGGCAGCCACCCCTTCCACCTGCCGGAGTGCCTGGGGGCGAGGGGCTCCAGTGTCCCCCGAGCGTGGCTGTGAGACCCTGGTTGACCTGCAGCAAAAAAATAGTCGTCGTCTTCTGGGTAGAAGGTATTTGGGGATTTTCTCCCAATCTGAGATAAAAAGAACTCTTCTTCATTTTCAACCCCATCTTGCAGCTTGGCCCATTTCTGCAGGTCGCGAGGCCCTGTGGGGTGTCCGTCCAGCAGCCCCTTGTTTGTGTTCACGCTTTCTGGCCAGGAGGGCTCCTGCATGGCACCCATGATGACCCTCTGCTTCCCCTGCATGGGCAAGAGCCTCCTAGTCTCCAGGAAGGCAAGGGAGCTGGGCGCAGGCTCAGCAGGGCTGCTGTTGGTGAAGTAAATGAAAATCACCAGGAAGAGGAGCCCCCAAGTAAATATCCCACAAAGCATTCGTTGTCTCCATTGCTTCAAGTGTGGTTTCATGGCGGGTCTCTGGGTTCAGCAGCTGGTATCCCAAAGTGGTGGAATGATCCTGAAAAACAGGTCTACAGTTAACTAATGTGGACATCTGCTCAGACATCACTAGGATCATCTATGTTTGCAGTGTTCCTATAGGAGAGGGTTGAGTGGAGAGGGAGAGGGAACCAGAGGAGCTATGGCTAAATTCAGGTGTCACATGTCCCTCAACCCCTGACTTCTGCAAAGGAGTCCCACCATCTCAGTTGGCTCCTGGAAGAAAGGAGGTGGAGTGGAAACCCTTCTCAGGTCACTCAGTCTTCCCACATGACAGCTGCTTAATAGGAGCCATCCCAACAACCTTTCCCTGAAGCTGGATTTATCTATAGTAATAATAAATAGCCTAGGTCAGAGGTCGGCAAACTCAGTCAAGAGAGCCAAATATCAACAGTACAACGATTAAAATTTCTTTTGAGAGCCAGACTTTTTAAACTTAAACTTTTTATAGTGCCACTTCTTCAAAATAGACTGTGGTATTTTGTGGAAGAGTCACACTCAAGGGGCCAAAGAGCCGCAGTTTGCCAACGCCCTCACGCATCACACCCTAATGTTGTCACAAGATGGCTGTCACAAGATAGCTGTGCACACTGGGGAAGTGGGTCCTGGAGGAGGAGGTGGGTCGTGGCAGGGGAGGGCAGTTGTGGGTGATCAGGCAGGCAGGCAGAGGCAGTTAGGGGCTATTAGGGAGGCAGGCATGGAGGTTAGGGGTAATCAGGGAGTCAGGCAGGCAGAATTGGGGGCAATCAGACAGGCAGGCAGGTGAGCAGTTAGGAGCCAGCTGTTCCAGATTGTGGGATTGGGCCTAAACCAGCAGTTGGCCATCCCTCAAGGGGTCCCCTATTGGAGAGGGTCCAATAGAATTATAATTTAGTAAAACAAAGCAGGAGTTGAGCAGAGTTTGCCATCTCTCACCTACTAATCAGCCAAAAGCTCAAACTTCACATATTGTACTACTACAGAATTTACCAGGAGACAGAAAAATACATAGGAGTACTTGGAGGTTCAAGATAAACCCATTTATTTTCAGATGTTTCACAAGTACTAGTACAGTGACTCAGGGGAGCCTGTTCCCTAATCCTGAGCCCCTGAATATGGAAGAAGCTTTCCCTTTATAAACCCTTTAGTTTCTTTGTTCCCCAAATATGGATCAGGCTTCCAGACCTTTCGTGGGCTTTGTGAAAAGCCCCATGTGTCAGGATGGGGGTCGTGAGACCACACCTATGCTGCCAGCACTGATAACCCCTCAGGGGGTTGTGTATTGTTCATGGTTTATGGCCTTTGTAAAATGGGAATATTTAGGTAAATAGGTCTTGTAAGACCAGATAATTAAGGAATGAATAGTGAGTTAATTATTGGCGAGCAAGTATGTGCATTTAAAGATACTGATTAACTAGGTAGAGTCAGATTGCTAGCCCCTCCCAGAAATGTATTTTTATGTTCCCCATCAGTACAGCAGCATTGCTGTGTATTTCTAGGGGGTGGCAACCATATCTGATTCTTCGGTGTCTTTCCCAGGCCTAGGAAGCTGCCTGGAACATACCAGAAATACACCTATGGTCCAGAATAAGCAAGACTGTAGTGTAGTGCAGGGGGATGTTATGCCAAAGTGTCTGTGGATTTCAGAGTGCCCCAAATAATGCCCACCTATTTCACCTCACCATGAGTCTCTGAAGGAATAAGAGGAAAGTGTAAGGACAGAAAAAAAACTTATCTTTGCTGTGACCCTCCACAATTTATGAGAAGCACCTAGTAAGTAAACTCTAAGACCTCTTTTCAAACTGGGGGACAGGATAAGCAACTCTCACACTTTTAACACTAATTTCTGATTCCATCTGATCATACCAACTGAAGCAGTATTTTCTAAATGAGCTTTTGGATCTCTTTTTCACAAATGGTCATAGTCTAATACTTTTATATTTCCACTAGTGGTCCGTTGCACAAAATTTGTGAAGGCATGTGTGTGTGTCCCTCAGCCTGGCTTGCACCCTCTCCAATCTGGGATCCCTTGGGGGATGTACGACTGCTGGTTTAGACCTGATACCTGTGGGATTGGGCCTAAACTGGCAATAGGACATCCCTTTCGCAATCTGGGATTGCTGGCTCCTTACAGATCACCTGCCTACCTGTCTGATTGCTCCTAACTATTCCACCTGCCAGCCTACTCACCCCCAAACCCCCAACCCCGTTGCTGGCCTGCTTGCCCCCAACTGCTTCTCTCTCCCCCTCCCCCCTCTGCCAGCCTGATCACCCTCAACTGCCCTCCCCTCCTGGCCTGATTGCCCCTGACAGCCTCTGCCTTGACCCCACCACCATGGCTTTACCCAGAAGGTCTCCCGGTCTAATTAGCATATTACTCTTTTATTAGTAAAGATTCCTGAATGTCTTGGCAATATCAAAGTGCTGTAAAGGTTTCTAAATGCTTACAATCAGTTCTGTACATATTTCAATCAGGAACTGAGAACAGTTTGTGGATGTGCACAAACTACTCACACTTGTAGTAGAATTTGCAAAATGATCTTTCTAAACCTGACCATTCAGCAGATTATGCTTCAAACTGTAATTCACAACCTGAAGATATAAAACTATTGCCAATATTTCCACAGTTCTATTAGAAACCAGAAAAACATTCTTATAAGAGTTAATCTGCTTCCACCCCAAATGAATACACTGCAACACAAGTTTACACTAACTACTAATGTTAGCACAGTCCCACAAGACTTCAGACATCAGCCTGAATTTATATCCCAAGGCCCCCTGCACTTCTCACCCTGGAGATCCCCATAATACCCCTCAGGTTTAATCATTCATTAGAATGACTAACAGAACTGAAAGTTATACTATACTAATGATTACAGGGTTTTTTTTGGGGTAAGGGATATATGTAGTTCAAGGTGTGCATGTGTTACCAAATGAGAGGGATTCCATATCCATTTCCCATGGTGTCAGGCAACAGTATCTATCCTCTTGGGCCATCTATATGTTCACCAGCCACAGACTTCCACTGAGTCTTGGCATCCAGAGATTTTATTGGGGTTCTATTATGTAGGCATGACTGGTTGAATCACTGACTATGTGACTGAATTAAATTTCCAGTCCCCTCTTCTTCTCAGAGGTCAGGCTGGCCCAAAGTCCCCTGCCTTTTAATCACAGGGTAGATCTTTCTGATGACCAGCTCCCATCCTGAAGCTATCTAGGAGCTCATTAAGTGGCCTTATTAGCATAACAAAGACAACCCTATAGCTGAGGAAAATTCAGTGGTTTTAGAAACTCCATGCCAAGAACCCAGGACAAAGACCAGACAAAAGATTAAAATGCCATAAAGCTCTAGTAGCTGATTTAAAAGGCAGTCTTTCTGCTTCTGGCAGAAATCTTCCTTTCGTGGTTGTCCTACAACAGCTCTGGGGGCTTATTCTAATGGATTACTAAAGGAAGGAAAATGGAGGTTTCTTAAACAACATTTGCTTGAGAGACTTAAAGCACTAAGTCAAAACGGTGAGGTATGTGCACAGAATTCAGTAGATGAAAAAACAAACAGGAAGCCTTGATAGGTTGGAGAGGAACTGGAAACTTAAAGCTTTGGGGATTGGAGTGAGGACATGTGTCTTGCATGCTAGGCAACCCTTAGCTGCCCAGTTCTGCCGAGTTAGGAAGCTATGGAAATGGGCTCAGAAGGTGAACCTGCTAAATTTCATGTCCAGATTCAGAGTATCAGACATATAGACTTGGTTATAGAGAAATGGCCAACTCAAGACAAGTGACGTCTGTTTTTTATGGGGGGATGACAGACATGAAATGAGGGGAAGGGGGTGCAGAGAAAAATGAGAGGAAGTCTGTAGACACAAAGAAAGTAAAAGAAAAGCCCAGATGCATAGTGGGGCCAGGACCCTAGGAAAGATTTTGTCCTCTCCATCTTCCAGGCTGGAAAGTAGGAAGGGTGGGATCTGTGCAGCTCTCTGAGCACCATATAGGAGTAAGTATCACAATAAAAGAATGAGAATTTCCATTAGGTCAGATTTATAGCTTCTCATCCACAGTAGTAATAGAAAGTGGTGGGATCCTGCCTCAACTCATGATTAGGGTTCAACTTTTAATAGATCCAAAAGCTGCCCTGCAATTGCTGTCACTGCAGACCTGCTGCTGCCAGTGAAGGGGACATTCTCCAAAATGATAAATTCCCATGGCAACAGTAAATCCTCTGCTAGCACAATGCTACAAAAATCATTGTATGCATTCTGGGTCCTTCATCAACATAGTTGTAAAATCCAGGTTGGAGATGGTTGGAGGACACAATAAATGTCACAGCCTTGATCCCTCTTTCTATAAAGTAACCACAAAACCTAAGAGGAAGAAATGTTTGGTAAGCAGTAGGAAAAAATACACATTTTTCTCTAGTATAGTACATCTGAAATATTATAAGGACATAGCTTAAACAAAGTGATTCTGTAATACTTATTGCTCTGACCCATCATTAGCTGGTGTGATATAAATAGCACCGGGGACATATAAGTGGCACATCAGGGAAATGATCTGTCCCCAGGAGCCAATGAAAAGGTGCCCCCTGATTGTAGGCCCATCTGAGCTTTGTGGGGGAAGATCCCTCCATGACTGGCTGGTGAGTTCCTACCAGATTTCCCTTGGAAGGAATTGGCAAGACTGTATGCATACTTTGTAAGGCACATGTGTCAAACACAAGGCCCGTGGGCCAAATCCGTCCCGCCAGGCCTTGCAAATGTGGCCCGCACCGCACTGTCATCATTGCACTCCGCTGCATTTCCATCACAATGACAGTTTATGACTGTTTAGTAAACCATTCGGCCTGCGATTTAGGCTGGATTTTAGATTTTGACCCCTTCTCTGATTGAGTTCGACACCCCTATTGTAAGGTGTGGCCTTCTCTTCTTTTCCATGGTGTTTCCAACAGTGCTCCCTGGCTGTGCTCTGGTTTAAATTCCAAGTGATGTTCTCTGCTATTTGAACTGCACTTCTCCATCCCCACCCTCCTCACACATTCTGCTG